CCGTGATTATGTGTATATAATCAAATGTGAATATATGTATTTAATCACATATGATTTATATGGAAAATATTCTTTTTTGCCCATATAAATGATGTGATTAGATACATATAATCACATGTGATTAGATATATCTAGTCAAATGTGATTAGATATATTTAATCATATATGCCATTATTGCATTCTCGATTCAATAATTATTTTTTGTCAACTTTAATCATATGTGATTAGACATATGATTTATATGAACAATATTCATTTTTGAGTTTTCGTTTCTATAATTTTTCTCATGTTTTTAATCACATGTGATTATAAGTATTTAATCACATATGATTAATGTGGACACAAATTTGTTTTAATGTTCTTGATTCAATAGTTGTTCTCGTGTATATAATTACATGCAATTATATATATTTCATAACATATGGTTTATTGAATCAACAACATGAAAACAAATCTTTTTCACATAAATAATATGTGATTAAATACACGAGACCAACTATTGAATTAAAACGCAAAAATGAATATTGTCCACATAAATCATATGTGATTAAATATATATAATCACGTGTGATTATTATTACATAATCACATATAATTTATTTGGACAAGATTCATTATTTCTTTCTCAATTCAATAGTTGTACTCATGTACTTAATCACATGTGATTATATGTATCAAATCACATATGATTTATATTGATAGTATTCGTTTTTGCATTATTTATTCAATATTTTTTCTCATGTATTTAATCATATGTGATTGTATCTATTTTAATCACATATGATTAATGTGGAAAAGGAAAAACTATTGAATTGAAAACGCGAAAATGAATCGTGTATACAGAAATCATATGTGACTAAATGTACAAGAACGACTATTGAACGAGAATGTGAAAACGAATATTCTCCATACAAATTATATATGATTAGATACATATAATATCATGTAATTAAATACACAAGAACAACAACTGAATCAAGAACATGAAAATGAATATTTTTCACATAAATTCTATGTGATTAGATACATATAATCACATGTGGTTATATGCATTTAATCACATATGATATATGTGGACAATATTTATCTTTGTGTTCTCGATTGAATAGTTGTTCTCATGTATATAATCTTATGTGATTATATGCATCTAATCACATATGATTTATATAGACATCATTATTTTTTGTCCATATAAATCATATGTGATTAGATACATATAATCACATGTGATTATATGTATTTAATCACATATGATTATAGTTGACAAAGAACAATTACTTAATCGAGAATGTGATTATGAGTCTTATCCATATAAATATATGATTGGATACATATAATCACATGTGATTATATGTATTTAATCAGATATGATTTATGTAGACAATATTTATTTTTGCGGTTTCGATTGAATAATTGCCTTTGTGTATTTAATCACATGTGATTATATGTATATAATCACATACGATTTGAGGTGGACAAGATTTATTTTTGCCTTCTTGATTCAATAGTTGTTCTCATGTACTTAGTCACATGGGATTATACATATAATCACATGTGATAAAATACATGAGAACAACTATTGATTCGACAAAGCGAAAATGAATTGTGTCTACATAAATCATATGTGATTAGATTCATATAATCAGATGCGATTAGATGTATTTAATTACATATGATTAATTTGGATAATGATTTGTTTTCGTGTTCTTGGTTCAATATTTGTTATCATGTATATAATCACATATGCTTGTATTATCTAATCATATATGATTTATATAGACAATATTCATTTTTTCCAAATAAAATCATATGTGATTAGAAACATATAATCACATCTGATTAAATGTATTTAATCACATATGATTAAAGTGGAAAAAAGACAATTATTGAATCAATAATGCGAAAATGAATCTTAGCCACATAAATCATATGTGATTAGATACACATAATCACATGTTATTATATGTATTTAATTGATTATGATTTATGTAGACAATATTCATTTTTGTGTTCTCGATTCAATAGTTGTTCTCGTGTATTTAATCACATGTGATTATACGTATCTAATCACATATGATTTATGTGAATAAGATTCAAATTCGCGTTCTCAATTCAATAGTTGTTATAATGTATTTAATCATATGTCATTTTATATATTTAATCACATACGATTAATATGGACAAAGAACAACTATTGAATCGAAAACACAAAAATGAATCTTATGCATATAAGTCATATGTGATTAGATCATATAATCGCATGTGATTTAATACATGAGAACAATTAACGAATCGAGAACGTGGAAATGAATCTTGCTTGCATGTCTCACTAGAAAACAAACTACATTCTACTTTTTCTTGTTTACTCTACCGGATTAGGGTAACCGTGAACAATAACATAAAACAACTAACGCCCACATAATAGGAGAATTAGTATAACTCACCTCCTTGAACTTCAAAATCAGCTAGCGTGAGCAAGATGGATCAATTCCTTTCCGAGAATCTACACAATAATTATAACATTATTTTGCTTGTGCTTTGTTGTATTACTCTTATAAAACTTATGTATATATTTTCTTATTTTCTCTTTGATTGTGGTGATCTTTTGGGATCTGTTTTCTTACCTTTCAACCCGTTCTTAAATTTTGATAAAATAATATTGGTAAATTTCCCCATTTTATCTTTTCAGAAATATAAAGATCTCATTCTAATGATTTTTGGTTGATTTTATATTAAATTTACAAGTTAGTAACTTTAAGTTGTCACTTTCTGGACTACTCAACACTCTTGGAATAAAATGTACCAATATACTAAGAATTACACCAGGCCCTTTATATTTGGGAAACTATACATCGATATCTAACTAGAGGCTTTGGAATTTTGGCATTTGGAGTTCTGATGAATTTTTTTAATACAATACATGAAATCTGTGACAGTATGGACCAACCTGAGAAGATTGCCAATTTTACCCCCCAAGGATTTGGAATTTCGAAATGTGATTCAAAGTTTGGAGACATTAGACACATTAATATTTATAGAAAACTAAGTCTCATGATTTTTAGATGTTCCTATTGACTTTCACGAATTTTAGAAGTTGGAGGACAGATTTGAGAAAATTGATCATAATAGCTTTTAAATCACTTTTGGTGTTCTATTAAGTACTTAATGGTTAAGCCTTAAGTTTATCACTTTTAACATAATTGTTGGTTGCTTATTAGGATATTGAGATGTGGAATTCAATTTAACCTAATGGCCTTAATGCTTGGCTTAATGAGGGTTAAAAGTTAAGGATTTTCACATAAAATGCTACTTTTACACTTATTAGGTTCTTTCAGACAATATAACAAACACCTTGTGTGCATGAAATGCTACAGTGATCATCAACTCTCTAATAGACTCCAATCCAACCCCTAGAGCTTACTATTTTTATTTATCATTGACACCAACAATTAGCATAAAGAAGGAACGATTCATGACTATAAATGGAACGATGCCAGATTTCACAATATCATGAATCTGACTCATAATTCGACCAGATCCATCATTTTCCTAATCAGAGTACAAATCAAACTAGAATGTGCTTTTAAAAACAATTGAAACTAACCTCTAATTCTATCTCGACATCCAATTCGATAGCGAGCATCAAAACTTGCAAATATTTATGCTTCAAATCTCTTGTGTATGATTTTTTTCATGAAAACTGGCTTCTGCTTCACTATTCCTCTTCCTCCCTGGTTGTTGATTTACTATGCGCAACGCCGACATTACGTAGATCTTCACCATCTATGCCTTTGAAATGAAGAAATTGAGGTTCAATTGGTTGGTTATTTGGTACACCTAATCGATAAACCCTAACCCTAAAATCCAAAGCATATGATTGCCACTCGAACCGGATCGACTTTCCACTGGAGAGAAGGACAGACGGACATGGTTCTGACGCTGGGAGGAGTAGATGCGAAGGGTATAGCCGTTGATTCCAGGTTTCACGTCGTTTCCTTGGGCCTGTCTAATTAATAAAGTAAGAGATAAACTTTTAAACTTAATGGGTCGTATCTGGATGATGCGCGATGTTTTATGAATAAATAAGCTAAAAATTTGTTCTCAAATGTTCTCAATTTAAAAAATGTTCTCATTTGAACACACACACACACATATATATATATATATATATATATATATATATATATATATATATATATATATTATATATATATATATATATATATATATATATATGATTAAAAACTTAAACATTGGGTAATAATCACTTGGTCATATTGGAAGGTCAAAAAAAAAAAAGATGCATGTTTTCTTGGCAGCCCCTCTTCGTAATTTCTGAAGAAAAAATGAAAGAAAGTAGTGTGTAAGAGAATGGTTAGTTTACCTAGCAGCACCTATAATGAAATAAAATTAAAAAATAATTGTGTGTAATAATTGGACGATGCATTAGCCTAGACTCAAATGAAATAGAATTAAAAATAACAATTAGAAACTTCCAAGGTGCGTGTGTGTATGTCATTGAGCATTCGAGGTTTGTAAAAGTACGTGGTGCGAAGGAAAGAACAAATTGGATACTTACCAGGAGGTGTGAAGCAGCGGCCAAAGGCATTGAAACAGTGTAGAGTACTCACGGATCTTCCTCTATCCCTTCAATATTAGATTCAGGGATAAACGAGTATGTTAACATATGGATATGAATAATTAAAGTTTGAAGGTATTAAAAGTAGCATGTGCGTTATATGCGTAAATGTAATTTCCTCAACAGTACACTAACGCATCATCTTTTTTAATAAAGAAATAACGCATGATTCGGTGGATGAATAAAAAATTTAATTGAATAACTATTTTTTTTGACTCCAAGTAGCCCACCAAAGTAGACCACCAAGGTGGATGAATAATTATTACCAATGTCGAAGTCTATTTTTCGTATATAAAAACATCGCATTACATTGTACATTCATCCTAGGTAGACCATAAGAGTGAAGTTTTATCAGATCCAAATGGCCTCCGTTGAACCAATATTGATCCCAAAGTCTGAAGAGTCAGAATGGTACCAACAAATTAGTATGATCTTTTATTCACAACTCGACACCAACCTTGAAAACCCTTCTGCTTCCATCTTTTTAGTACCTGAAAACATAATCAAACATAAGCCTGAAGCCTATGAACCACAACAGATAGGGTTGGGGCCGAAATATCATTTTCAGCCATGGCCTTATAAGAAGATGGAGCAAAGAAAGCTTACCGCTGCAAAAAGGCTACTACCGGATTGGAAAGGCCATAAATTTCATAAACATATCATTCAAAAATTATACGGCCTTATCCCAACCATCCGTGCTTGCTACGAGACATTCCTCCAAGATGATAACTTTTATTTGGCCTGGATTTTGGCCATTGATGGTCTCTTCTTGCTTTATCATTTCCATTCCTACAACAGTGGTGTGGACTATGATCATGAGGAAAGAAATGAACTCGAAGAGAAGAAGAATGAATCACATGAACATATAATATCTTTGGAAGTTGATCCGACAAGAAGATTGTTTGCACAAGATCTAATGATGGTCGAAAACCAAATTCCTTTTATGTTGTTGCAGGAACTTGATAAGGCTTTGCAGCCATCTTCAGGTGATTCCATCGATTCAGTGTATAACTTTTCTCCTTCCATATATCGATCTTTTTGTGACACACATTCGCCACTTGAGTTGTGCTCACAATCACAAGCTCCTACTCTTGTAGACCACCTGCTTCATTATATGTATTGTTCAATTGTGACCAATATCCCTGAAAAGGTTAATCAGTTGCCTCACAAAAGACCAACCTTTGTTTATCGCATGGGGGAAGCAGGTGCCTCGCCTTCTAAAGAGGAAAAGGGTGTGTTACTTCCTTCTGGAGAACCACTCATCGATACTTCTTTAGGAAAACTGAATATCCCCATTGTTAACTTCGTACAAAAAATTCCTTGGGAAAAGGTCTTTCCATTATATGAAAAAACCGTGACATCACTAGAAACCTTCTCTCATGATAAAACTGACATCCCTTCAGTTTCCAAACTGCATGGAGCTGGATTCAAGTTTCACCTCTTACCAAAAGACGAAGGCTTTTGGAAAATAGATAGTAAAGGGAAGGATATTTCCCTTCCATGTATTACTTTGCATACCGACTCAGAGGTTATATTAAGAAATTTAGTTGCGTACGAAATGATAAAGGCCAATTGCAATAACTTCCCACTTACTGAATACGTGGGGTTGATGTGTGGGCTTATCATGAATGTAAATGATGTCAAGCTTCTTAAAAGACAGAAAATTATCGATGGTGACTTGCGTGAGGATGAAGTTGCTAAATTCTTCATTGGGATGCGGACTTCTACACAGACTGTGAAAACGAGAAAGAAATCCGAGTTGCAAGAAAAGATAGTGGAAGTTAACAGAGTTTATGAAAGTAGGCGGAGGATGTTGTACTTGCTAATGAGGAAGGTATCATATTGGTTGCTGGTGGTTTTAAGAGCTGTTAGCATTTTTGCAGGAGCTTCGTTGAAGATTTTAGCGTTCATCATTAGCCTTGCAACAGTGTTCCTGTTAACATCACAAGCTTATTGCGAGGCTTATGGCTGCGCTAAAACAAAGGTCTCGTTGTTGACGCTCAGTACTTGAAGCCACACTGCGTATTGAATTTGGGCTAACTAGCTCGATCTTATAATGTTACTCTGAATCTAATTAACTTTTGGATTAAATTACATCAATGGTCCATACGGTTTCTCAATAAATGCAGATTTTGTGCATAAGCTTCATTTGTTTAATTCACAGTCCCGATTTCGTTTATTTGTTGTACACACTAATATAAAAATGGGCATTACCGACAGCCAAAACCGTCGGTAATCTGTCTACCGACAGAATTGCAACAGACCCATGTGCATAGGGATATTTTAGTTGTTAATTGTTGTGACGGATTTCCGATGGCCAGGCAAATTTTAGCGACAGATTTTTTCGTATGTGATTTGTAATCGATCACCGACGGAAATATATTTGCAACGGAATTTGTTTTCAACATATTACCGATGGGATAACTCCCCAATGCATTACCGAAATATTGTGTATGACAGATTACCAACGAATATTAGCATTATAATATTATTTTTGATAGGTTAATGAAAAACTTAAAAATATTTATATATTCAACAGAGAAGAATCTAAAAACATAGGTCAAATCCATATGTTAAACCATCAAATATAAAAGTAATGAATTTTCAATATTCAACATCCGCTAAATCCATAAATTATATATCCATATTCAACATTATATGCATAATACTAAAAATAGTCTTCATGTATTTTGAAGAAGGCATCTATAAATGTGGATTCCACATCTATGATTAAGTCCTTACAGATTCATGTGAGAGACAAGCCTTGCTGATTTGATTTCTCTACCTTTTCTTTAGCCTTCCACAACTCTACAACATAAATCATGTGGTTGTCTAAAAACCAATTTTAAGCTTTTAACATCTAAATTACAAAAACATAATAATAATAAAGTTAAAATCTACCTTTTTCTTTTACAGTGACTTTATGATTAGATGTAATGTTTTGAGATTCAAACCTGACATGGAATATTATTATCCAGTGGAACCAAATTGACTTCAACCTATAGAACTATTTTTCTACAAAATATCATCGAAATTATTTTCCTACAGATTACATACATAGTCTTTTTCCTACAAATTTCCTACATTTTTTTCTAAATTTTTGTAACAGAAATTTTCATTGCTAATCTGTAGCTAAATTAAATTTAACATTTAAAAAAAACATTTTTATAAATTACCTAATTTTTTCTGCACAAATAAGAAACTACAAAACTAATTAAACATGATAATAATCAAATACCATTACATTCATTAACATTAAAATAGTCAACCACATAACATTCTAGTACATTAAAATAGTCAAAATCCCTTTACAAAGGTTTAGATTAATCAAGTGTTTTAAAACAAAAACTAAAAACTACATGGTTGATTACTGTGAAGGTTGAATTATCTCACAAAGACCGCCAATTGCAATTCCATTTCTTTTTGTATTTATTGCATCTGCAAATCCATTTGATTTTATCTTTCTTGCAATTGCAAGTCTATTTGATTTTGCCTCTTATCCATAGGGGCTTGTTGCATGCTTGACACCCGTTCTAGCAACTCCTTTATGAAAAAAAATGGCAAGACAAACACCATATAGTTACTATATGTAAATGTAACAATAAAGTATTCACCAATTATATAACCATGGAACAGTTAGATTTAAAAAATTACAAATTAGAACATCAAATATGTATTAAACAGATTAATGCAAACATCAACATCAACTAATGAAACCAACCATGGAAGCATTAACTCATTAACTTTCAAAACCCAAAAACCATAAAGGTACTAATCAACTAATAAAATAATCTAGAACAATCAAGTTTGATTTACCAATTCGTTGTATGAAAAAAAAGCATAAAACAGTTATTTCTTAATCCTGCATTTAATTCCATCATGTTAAACTTGTTAAAGCCACACATATGTTGATCCAACTCACAAATAAGTTGCATCCCTAAATTTTACAGGGTGACTCGCATAAACAAAACAACAAATAGAAATAAAATAATTGGAAACATTACTACAATAGAGCTCGATAAGATATTTTTTAATTTCAAGAATTTTCATCTTCTTAACCCTAGAAAAATCTTGGACGATAGTTAACCCACATAATTGTTAATCAAACAAACAAAAGGAAAAGAAAATAACAGTTTAAATAAGTGTTCAACATAAAATACTGAAAGATTCATTTGATTTAATCTGGGAAGATTTTGATAAAAAAACATTTATAATAGATGCCAGTTTTAGTGATGGATCAAACCATATCTTCCCACAAAACACTCAAATACCACATGAAAATAGAGTTCAGTACCGATCTGTCAAAGATCCTAAGAAATACCTTCGAATCCGGAATAAAAACATCAATCCAATCAAAGAACTTACCATCAAAAGAACTATATACCCTCAAGCATAAATCACCGACGACATAGAACGATGGCTGCTGACATACAGGGGTGGAACAATGGCGGCGAAGTCTTCCCTTGTAATATCGGAAAAGAGAGAGACAAACTGAGCGGTGAGGGTTTCGGTGACATCGTCTTCCTCATTCGCCCGCGACAGCGGCGAGGCATTCCAGCTAGACGGAGCTTTAATCGAAATGTGGAAGCAAGGAGGACCGTTGGTGGATGTTGAATCGGTGATGGTGATGGCAGAGGAAAGAGAATGAGAAGGAGAGGCGACGTGAGCGATGAGGAAGAGTGTGAGAAAAAGGCGGGATTAACCTAGCAAATTTCAGAAAAGCGGGAGTTATTTGATTTGTTTCGTTTGGCCGGTATTCCGTAGGAGATTTCCTACGTATTTCCTACCACAACATAAAAAAAAATATTTTATTTATGTCATTTTTCCTTGTAAATCAAATTATATTCAGAAAATAAATAACGTTAATAATAATAATAATAATAATAATAATAATAATAATAAAATAATAAGAGTCTACAGAGGCAACCACAATATCAATTAACTTCTTTCCTTATCATTTTATGTATTCCAACTAGATTATTGTTATTAATCTAGTTTTAAATTATTATTATTATTATTATTATTAAAATGATTTGCATTTAGGCAAATAAAAAAAATAAAACTTTCTATGTGCATTTGTATTATGTATCATTTAGTCCAAAACAAGTAATCAAAGTATACTCTGTTCTGAAAAAAAAAATGAAAAAATATGACATTTGATCCTCGAAAAATAGAAAGTACAAAAATTGTCGTAGGTAATCTGTAGATAAATACCCACAGATTACCTACGAATAAAGCATTTTTGTAGGTTATCGGTAGATATTTACCTACAAATTACCAAGGGTAGTTTTGTATTTTTGTATTTATCAAGGGACAAATGTTATTTTTTTCATTTCATATTTTTCACAACATCATTATACCTTGATTACTTAGTTGTCACCAAGTTATATATAATATAAACGTATGTACAACCGTGTGCACCAATAGAACCCATTATTATACAAGATATACATAATACAAAAACTATATATGTTTGTTCTTGAACCACAATTAACCATCATTTAAGATACACATGATATACTAAATATAATACATACATATGGGAGTGTATGTATATGTGTGCTTGTATATTCTTTTGAATTGAAAATAACATGCATTTATGTAACGCTTGGTCAGATATAAATCAATTCTCATCATTTTTCAAGAGTTTGGAATGAAACTCGACGAGTTGGGGAGCCCTAACTCGTCGTGTTGGAACTTTTATGGCCGCAGATTTTAAGTGGCCAACTCGACGAGTTGGCCCAGGGGGAGAAAATCCTAAATTTCGGGGGTTGCACCCTTTATAAAGGACATAACTCTTGTGGCTGGCCTCCCTACCAGCCTCACTTGTCCAGAGAAACCCTAGATTTGTATTCAATCTTGCATCTTGAGTGTGGTGAACTTAAAAGAGTGGCTTATGGTGATTCTTGAAAGGAGCTTGGAGGTGGGAGTTTGAAAGAAGAAGAGGATTACAGGGGTTGATAGGGTAGACATGACCCCTTCATGACCTCTTGAGGCTTAAAGTTGCAAACTTTATTGATCCTTATCTCCCACTCATGCAAAATGTCCATTATGAAGTCATAAATGAGCCTTAGAGGGTATTTCTAACATGCATGGATGTAAAGTTGGAAACTTTACTATAACATCCCGAATCCCAGGTATAAGAATTTTATCTAAAAAGGCCAAATTGCTTTGGAACTCGTCGACTTGATGGCCTCAACTTGTCACACCCCAAAACCTGAACGGCGGAAACGTTTCGGGGCGGAGGACGTCATGTACAGTATCACAACAATGCATAATATAAACAAGCAACAACATCATCCATTGCATTAATAATATAATTTTTAATACAAGTGTGTTCTGTATAGTTTATAAGACACCAAAAATATGAATCAAAATAAGAGATGAGTCTTGAACGTGCTCCATCTTCTTTGAAAACCTGGTCATCGGTACCTGTTTACTGGTGACCTGAGAATACAAGTTATTTTGAAAGCGTAGATCAGCATTAAAGCTGATGAGTTCATAAGTATTTTAGTCTCATTGCTTGTATGATATTGTTTGTAAATGTTTGATGTAAATGTTTGTAAGTGTATGTAGTAATTGTTTGTATCTCCTAGAAAATCCTATATTTTCTACTAAATAGTAGCCTTCTACCAAGGCCCAAATATTCTGTGTGTTGTGTTGTTTGTAAAAGTTTGTATCTTTCCCAAGTATGACTATCATTACCAAAATGTAGTTTGCATTATCGTTTATGTGAAAAGATCACAATGTGAATGCAATGGGAAAATAACAGTGTACAGTAGTATTGTATGTAAGTAACTACCAATGTACTAACTATCTTAAACCAGTTTGTTAATTAAGGTAAAATGTGATATGATTGTAACCATACTTGATAGACTAGTATAACACGACTCTCTAAGGCATCGAAATGGTATGACATTAGTCACCCGTAGACCTGTAGGTCCCACTATAGCTAGCAGCAAGGTGTAGCATAGTTAATCTCGTATAGATCTATACACCAATTCACGCTCT